AATGCTTAGGTGAAGCTGAGCAAAGAACCGTGGCGAATAAGGGGAGGATTAAGGCTCTAGAGCACAGGGAGTGTCAGGGCCAATACGGTGACCTCAAGGTAACCGTTGATGAAGCTGTCAAATCCATAGATGAAACGGAGCAAAATGCTCTACGCTCTAAGGAAAGAGCTCGAAAGGCTAAGACGAGGGCCTGGGATGATGATGAGGAAACCGCTGCCTACCCAGCCAAGTGGAAGGAGATGACAGAGCTCGCAAGGCACGTGATTGAGGAGAACAATGAGCTCCTGAAATCACTTAGTGAGGTCACAAGTCAAGCCAACTCCCTCGCTTGTGAGGTGGAGCGATTGCAGGAGGACCTAATGGCTGTCTACCATCAACATTTTCATTTACCCCAGTGCCGCAAAGGCTCCCTCCTCCCACCTACGGTGGGGTAAGGGGGGTCGGATGTACGCAGTCTTACCCCTGTACTAAAGCACATAGAGACTATTTCCGGATGACCCATAGTGAAATCACGTCCAAAATTGCATGGACTGACTGCTGCTCCATAACAAAAAAGCGCAGACATTTTAGTGAGTCATTTTACTTTATTCCATCATAATCTCAAGCCAAAAAATAATGAATCTTTGGCTCCATTGTAAATGATGGAAATGTCTGCCTACCGTAAGTATGAAAAAATTGAGGAAGACCTCCTTATTTCTTCCAATGAGGTTGAGCAGTTGAAGATGAGGCTCCATGAGATGCAGCTCGAGGATGGTTTGTAGAAGGTCCGTATTGCGCAACTTGAGACTGACTTGCAGCTGATGAGGGATAAAGTTGTTGATGCTGCAACTGAGCATCATAGCCTAGCCTTAGAGAGGCTTACGTCGGTTACAACATGCTAATGTCCTTGAGTAGGCTAGGGTTGCCCCTGAGCAGGTGAAGACACTGGCGGGGGAGTTGGCTGAGGTGAAACAAAAGCTCCAGGAGTTGACTGTTGGTCATTCTACGACCATTAACAAGGGCAGAGAGAATGCTTCATGTTCTACATTTTTGGGCCCGACCGGACGACCAAAACTTTCAGGTTGGTCCGGGTTTTAAGAGCCTCGGCTTCGGGTTGGGTTGAACCCGGAAAAAAAAATCGAACTGAGATATCTTAAAACAATTGAAATACAATCACAAAAAATTGCAAATATCTAAACTTTTAATCAAAAAATATACGTAGTATATTAAAACCAAAGCAATATATTTTGAATCTAAAAATCACACCATAGAAAATGTTGTAGAAGAACAATTGGTTCAAAAGTAAAGTAATATTCCATTCGTCCCAAAATGATTTACAAAATCAATTTTTTTGTCAATCAATGTTAAAGTTAAATCCTCCATATTGCTACTTATTTCAATTTTTAATAATTAAAATTTACATATTCAAAAACTACATTAAAATCTCTTCAAAGTTGCAAACTCCAAATTAAATATAATTAAAAATTGACATCCAAATTAAGTGAATAAAATATAAATGTTTGACTAAAAAAATTAATTTTGCAAATCACTTTGGGACAGGTGTAGTTTAAATCTATATGATGTATTAATAGGTCATACGTATTTTATATAAAATATACTACATATGTTTTTAGTTGGGAAAATGGAAATTAATAATCCAACCTTTTAGCGGTCTTCATTCGTTGGTCCCACTTTATCGTTATTCATGAATAATTCAACCTTTGCACCTCATCTTTATTCGTTGGTCTCTGACCGGTTGATGACCTGTTATTCCAGGTTTTTTCATTTTCTTTGCAAATCATTCAACCATAAATCTCACCTTTCATAAATCTTCACCAAGCAGTCCCACATGTCATTTTTCTTTTTTCTTCCTAAAACTTTTCCTTTTTTATTTTTATCGTCTTGACTCTTTTATCCCCCCTTTTTGTCTTCTTATTTTTATTTTTACTACTTTTTATATTTTTTTATTTTTTTCAATGTTTGTGTATCCATTTTTCCTTCTTTTTCTTCTTCCCGTTTATTATTTCATTTTCATTTATATATATATTTTCGGATTACTTTCCTTATAAAAGATCTTTTTCTCACCGTACTAACTTTTTACTTTATTTTCTTTTTACTTACACTTATTTATTTCCTTTTTCCTTTTCTTACCTTTATTCTAGCACTAGTATATATTTGAGAAAATAGCCCCAAAATAGGACTAAATAAATCCCCAATACACAAATAGGACTATGTTATTTATCTTTACCAAAGTACCGTCTATCTTCTTATTCTAAATTTCTACTCTTACCATAACTTAATAGGATAATCATATTAAGTTATGGTAAAGGTAGGAATGTAGAATAAGAGGGTAGACAGTATTTTATTCCTATTTTGAAAAGATAAATAACATAGTCCTATTTGTGCATTTAGGAATTAGTTTAGTCCTATTTTGGGGCTTTTTCTCATAAATATATTAGCGGTAGAATAAAGGTAAGAAAGGGAAAAAGGAATATAAGTGTAAGTAAAAGGAAAATAAAGTAAAAAGTTAGTACGGTGACAAAAAGATCTTTTATAAGGAAACTAATCCGAAAAAATATATAAAAATGAAAATGAAATAATAAATGGGAAAAAAGGAAAAATGAAATACATAAACATTGAAAAAAATAAAATAATTTGAAAAATAGTAAAAATAATAATAAGAAGACAAAAAAGGAGAATAAAAGAGTCAAGACGATAAAAATAAAAAGGGAAAAATTTTAAGAAAAAAAGAAAAATGATATGTGGGACCGTTTGGAGAAGATTTGTGAAAGGTCGGATTTATGGTTGAATGATTTGTAAAGAAAATGAAAAAACCGGGAATAACAGGTCATCAACCGGTCAGAGACCAACGAATGAAGTTGAGGTGCAAAGGTTGGATTATTCATTAATAACGATAAAGTGAGACCAACGAATGAAGACCGCTAAAATGTTGGATTATTAATTTCCATTTTCCCTTTTTAGATTCTTAATTAAATCGGGTTTTTCGGTCCGAGTCGGGTTTAAAATTTTAGAACCCGAATCAGGACCCAAGTTTTCAGGTTTGGATCGGATATTTTAACCCGGACCGGTCATTTTTAAAATAAAACCCGAACCAATGTCTTATATCGGGTTGGGTCGATTCGATTATCGGGTTTTGGGTCAGTTTATCCACCCCTAATAAAACCCCAACTCAGACTAGACCCATGACCCATCCCAAATCCCACCGCTGGTAATCATATGTTGCTTCATAGTAGGGATGGACTCGGTTCGGGCCGGGCCCGATTCGGGCCTTGAACCGGCCGGGCCTCGGTTCAAGGTATGGGAGGCCCGGAACCGGCCCGGGTAACCCCCGGGTCTAGGCCGGGCTGGCCCTCGGTTATATTTTTTTTTGGGCTTTTCCTAGTTAACCCCCAACCCCAACCCTCCCCCTCACCCCCAAACCAACCCTAACCACCTCAAATGGCCCAAAATACCCAGCCCAACCCAAAAACTTAAAAAAAATTAAAAAAAAATTAGCCCAACCCGGACCCGAACCAGCCGAGCCGGTTCACCTTTTGAAGGGCCCGAACCCAAACCGAGATCCCACCGGGCCGGGTGGCCCGAACCGGTCAACCAACCAGTTCACCGGGCCGGTCCAGGCCCGCACAGTAGCAGGCCGGTCCGGTTGGCCCGACCCGAGTCCACCCCTGCTTCATAGTTTCATCCAATTGACAATGGACTTTGTGACAATTGTACAAAATAGGGAAAAAATGCCACAATGGTAACATTTTTAGGAAATAATTAAATAAGATAATTCAAAGATACTTCAAAAATAAATTCAATGAGTATGAAATATAATAGTCATTGATGGCAATTGTTGTATTGTAAATATAATGCTATTTAATATTTAATTATTAAATTGTGATTTAAAAGTGTTGATTACTCTCTAAAATAGAAATAAAAACTTTTAGTTCGGACATGTGAGATCCTCAAGCCCGAGAGTATTAAACACGTGTCTAGAAAACTAGCGCAATTTATACTCTGCAACGGGCGCACCATTAGGATGGTGCACCCGATTGCAAAACGACGCAGCATTCATTGGTTGATTCCATTATTTTTTATTTCTTTAATTGTTAAAAATTGTAATAACTTTTTTATTTGATATCCGATTTTTATAAATTTTATATCATTTTTTTTTATTTTTCATGATCTATCAAATGAGACCAATATAGCTTATGTAATTTTAACAAATTATTTTGAAGTTACATTTGATAATATATCATGAAGTTACATCTTATTGTACGTGAGTTACATCTTAATATACGCGAATTACATCTTAATGTATGTAAGTTACACCACGAAATAAAGTTCGACTACATCACTCATTTTTATCATTTGAAAAATAGTGTATGAATATGAAATACAATATACTTATTTTATGTGGATTAATAAAATTTTGTATTAAATTGACAAAGAAAAAAATTAGTTTAGTTATAATTGAATTAGTTCAAGATAAAGATAAATAAAAAATCACAAATAATTAGATATAACTCACACATAATTACATGTAACTCGCGCATAAAAGTATGTAACTCGTGTATAACAAGATGTAACTCAGACATAACAAGATGTGACTCACACATAATTACATGTAACTCGCGCATAAAAGTATGTAATTCGTGTATAACAAGATGTAACTCACACATAACAAGATGTAACTCACACATAATAATTTGTAACTGAAGTATAAGATGATGTAACTTCATATATTATCAAATGTAACTCCAAGCTAGAAGCAAAATAAACAAACTCAATATCTTAAAAACCTCTAAAAACATATAACAGTGATAAAAATATATATTCTAGAAAAGTGTATGCATATAAAAATATATTACAAAAAATGTATGAATGTAAAAAATTAAAATTACATAGGCAATATTGGTCTCATTTGAAAGATCATGAAAAATAAAAAAATTTGATATAAACTTTATAAAAATCGGATCAAAAATAAAAAAATTATTAAGATAGGGCACGTAAACTAACGGTAATAAAAAAATCAGTTCCACGGTATAAGCACCGGAAAACTAGACCCACTTTTATGTTAGTTAATACTCAGATAAAATTTCATCATTAAGATAGGGCACGTAAACTAAAAAAGCGGTATGTTCATGATCAGCACCGTATAGTTAACCAAAATAAAAGGCAGTGCCGGGACACAGTGTGCACATCTAACAGACAAGAATCACAAGACAGATAGAAAGTCTACTATGCAGCAGCCTTCGGAAAATGTTGTGCTAGCTGCTTAGCAATCTCTAGAAACCCGACTGTCTCCTTCCCACTGAATATAGTCTTTAGCTTCTCATCGCATCTTATCTCTTTCTTATTTGCAGGATTCTGGGTATAGCCAAGCCACAATTATTAATACAAGACAATCATATCAACAACCTTTGATAGAAAATTCTGGAGAATTACTAGTAAATGATCGAGACAAATTTTAAAATGTTTTAATATATCAATGAACAAAGAATTACAACTGTAACAAAAAATGCATAACAGAAAGAATTAAAACTGCAACACATGTATAACAAAGTTGTTCATATGCTCTATTCAGCCCTGGTTTTTTCTAGACACATTCCATCTTAGCTCTCAAATCTCACTACTTCCTCCAGGTGAAACCCTAGGATTTCCTCGCCACCACCATAGCATCCCACTCCGATTGAGACCCTCCATTCCAATTGCCGACATCTGGCCTAGGCAACCCCCAATATTCAGATCCAGATCTAAATATGATCGTTGGAAAGCACAGAAGTTACATTTTCATCAAGATACCTAAGAAGCGATTCCATCTCCTCTCAGTTACATTTACCTTCGCCTTGGTTGGTAAATTTTCACAGGGAAGACCCTCTCTTGAACTTATCTGCATGTTAATCTTTAAATTTTCATGCTTTCACTGCCACTTTACGAAAAACAAAATTACCCTTCACTTTACCAACAAGGAGGAATATGTTCGTTGCAGATCCTAAAATCCCTGGTATATCGGAAACAAACTGATGACCATCTCCAGCTGGTACCATAGTTGTTAAGGCGGGGAGGTTTTGAGGTGTGCCTCCGGGCTGCCATACCACCGTGGCGATATGGCAGCCGTTGTGGCGGCACCGCGGTGATAAGTCGACATAGGCACACTAATAAATTCATACTCCCTCCGTCCCTGTTTTTTCTCCCATTTCGGCTGGGCACACTAATTAAGATAGTGGGTTTTGTGTGGTGGAGAATTGTGCAGAGGAGAGAGAAATGTGTAAGAATGTGTAAGAATGATTGTGAACCACAAATTCTTTGCCAAAAAGGGAAGGAGGAGATAATTTTGGGACGGACGAAAAAAGAAAGTTTGAAGATAATTCAGGGACGGAGGGAGTAATATGTTTTACATACTAAAATGCCTACATGTAACACTTAAAGCCAACACCACTGATGAAATAGTAAAACATGCAATCATAGAATTTAAAAACAATTATTAAATGAAAGACAACACAGTTACACAACATAAATTTCAGCATAAATTCAAGACACCAAAACAATTATGTATAAAATTAAAAAAACAATTGAAATTTCACCATTATTTGGGGAAAACCTGAAATTTGTTTTCATAAAATTGAAACAATTGAAACTTTTCTTAAAATAGTAACAATACAAACTTTTCAAAAAGTTTATGACTTTCTGTAAAACATTACACAGTTCAACACAACATTAAATACAAACCATAGAAAGCATAGGATGACTTTCTGTACACCCTACTGGAGTAACGAAAAAAATACAAAAAACAGACCTACACACTAAACTGACTAAAGTAAAACTCTAGCCAAATACTGAAGCAAATAAAACAGCGGACGACTGAAGCGAATGAGCGACGAGCAACGAAATACTTGGCGGAAACTGTGGAGCGTGCGGATAATTGAAGACGGATGGGAAGCTGGAACATAGATGCAGCTGTGCATTTGGGAAGTCGTCAAGTCGTCGACTAGCAGATAGGTCTGGTTTATTTTATTTTATTTTGATGGGTTCAAATGATTGGGTTTGAGTTTGGGCCTATTCGAAATTGATTAACTTACACCTTGGGTCGTCGCCTAGGCATCTATGGCATCTTTCCGACGCCACAGTGACGCTGCTTCGACCCCAAATGGTTCATTGCGTGTCGACCTCCCATAGTGAGCTTCAGTGAGCACCGCGGCGATATGGCGATGATAAGGCGACGCCCTGGCGAGCCGTGATAACTATGGATGGTACCCAAGCTACCATCTGAATAGGGAATATTCCTTTGTTCCTATTTGGATAAGTCTCCCACACCTCCCCTTCCAGTTAATTAATAAACACCTTCTTTTTGAACTATGTTTCACTTTGGGTCAACCTCTGAGATTTGATAGATCCACTATAGACAAGAAGCGCCCTTCGGATACTTGTGTCCAGGTGGAGATTGATCTCCAAAAATATACCTGATAGGATCTGGTCGGAGGATGAGGGTTACAACTTAAAACCCTTTCTGGAAAAACCATTAAGGTGGGTCCTCTACTAAAACTACCACCTCAACGGCTCAACCGATCCAGCCCGCCCCACTAACTCCATCATTCATGCCATTACTAAGACCATTGTTCAAGTTTCTGTTACGTGTACTAGCAGTCTAGCACTAGTGTAGGTGCCCTAAACAAAGCCATAGCTGCTATCGAAGAAACCATTTTGTCTCCTTCATTGCAATTCATGAACCGATGGGCAATCCATCTCACATCTCATCACTCCGAAGGCTTCTTATTTCCAAGAGAGTCGTGCTCATTATTTTAATAAAATCTGACTCTTTTGGAATGACGCCCACTCCATCAAAATTCTGTTAGAATACCCTCAGTGCATTAATATTCTTGTCAATCATACTGCGATTTTTTTGCTTTTAATGTCTCTGTGGCCTCTGTGATAAAACCCATGGACAAAATCTCTAGGCCCACCTTACTACCTTCCAAAGAAGCCTGGGCAATCAACCTTGATTTCTTGGTGGGGATTTTAACACCATTAGAGACACTCTGGAATATAAGGGGTAAACCCAGTCATAATAAACATTCTATTGAGGATTTCAATAACTTTATAAATGATAAAGATCTTTCTAATATTCCTTTAATTGGTGATAAATAGGCTTGGATGGGCAGAAGGAAAGGGGTATTGTTTTTAAAACTGGACATAATCCTTATTAACTACTCGCTTCTGCAACAGAACCTCTCCTTTTCTTCTACCAGACTGCCTTTTATCCTTTCTTATCACTCCCCTCTTATTTTTCAAATTAATAGCTACCAACCCCTCCCCTGTTCTAGTTTTAGATTTCAATTTTCAACACATGTGAGGGGGTGTTTGGAACTGATTCTGCTTCTGCTTCTTTTTTTAAAGCAGAAGCAGAATCAGAATCAGTTTTCAGAAGCTGCTACCCCCCAGCTTCTAAAAAACTGATTCTAGGAGTAAATTAGAGCACCAGAATCACGTCTGCATTTTCACCCAAACACTCCAACTTCTGCTTCTGCTCCATGAAGAAGCAGAAGCAGTTTTAAGAATTAGATCCAAACACCACCTGAATCAGACATAAGAATTTTGAAAATCTCCTGAAATTCTCCCTGTTATGGTTATGGCACGTTTCCTTTTCCCGAAAAACTCAAAAGATTAAAAATAATTGAAAGATTAGAATTACAACACTTTTCGTAATATCTTTCAAAATCTGAATATGGCTGAAAGTGGCCTTATTGAGAAGAAAAACAAACTGTTATGAATGTTAGCCGAGGATACAGTTGGCAACCTTTTCTCTTATAAGCAAAGCAAAATCCAATTTTATTCTAAAACAAAAGATGTCACCACTTTCAATAAACAGAAAGCTAGGATTAAGTGGATTCAAGAGGGTGATATAAATCATACAACAACAACATCCAAGCCTTATTCCCAAAAGATTTTGGGATCGGCTAACATGAATCGAACCATGATATCGGAGCCACAAAGGAAAGAAAGATAAGGAAAATAAAAAGAGAAGGTAAGATAAAAAAGGATAAGATAAAGAGGGTGATGCCAACACTAAATTTTTACTCTGTCAATACTAAACCATAGTTACAGAAATCGCTGCACTACCCACGTTTTGCGTTCTGGATCGCGCATTCAGGATCGTGGTACACTTGCACGGCGGTCGCTTCTGGGCCGTGACTCCAGTACGGCGGTTTCCGGTTGCAGTTCACACTTAACCCCCACGCGGTACGCCGTAACCAGTTCGCCGTTCGCATGTTTCCTCCCGCAGACAACGACCCAACAGTCCAAGAGTCACGACTTCGATTTTCCAAGCAACACAGGGTTCGGCAACTGAGTACTTCTAAACGACGCTTCTGAATCTTTGTACTTCTAAACAGCCTTCCTGACTCAAATGCCGTTTTATTTGTTTCTTTATTTAACGTAATCAGTGCCTCAGCAGTCAGCGCCTCGTAAACAACCTTTGTTAAGTTTGTTTACTATTTTAGTGAAATTAATTGTTTAATATTATATTTACTATATTTATACTTAATAAATTGTACATGTTTATGGTACACCGTACCATAATAAATGGTACCGTGTACCGCGTACTGAAATAGCGTACCAAAGAAGCCTACCTACTTGCGCATCAGATTTCTAATATTAGCGATCTGCGTTCCCATTTTCATACCGCGTACCGGAGCGTACCGCAATCCATGCGACTATGAACTAAACACATCAGACTGGCCTTTAATAGAAACATGGATCCTAATGGTATTTGGGCGGAAGACCCTGGCCATATAGGGAACATGGCTGTTTATTTTTCAAAGACCTTCTTGACAGGATGATAACCCCCCTAATGATTTTGACTAATGTTCCTAACATCCTTACAGAAGAGTTAGAGGATAATGCTACTCTCTTTACCCCTATTAACATCCTTACAGTGCCGCTAGCCTGATGGTTTAATGGCTGTTTCTATCACTCTTGCTTTGATATTATTCAAAATGATCTCCTCAATGCCACCAGAGAGTTCCTTTGTGGTGTTCCCATTCCCAAGAGTGTGGGCCATACAAACACCACTCTTATACATTAGGCATATAAGCCTACCTCTTTTCAAAAAGTTAGACCTATCTGTCTCAACAATTTCATCAATAAAATTTGTACTAGGATTCTTACTAAGCGGATTACTCCTCTTCGTCCCAAAATTATTTATTTAGAACAAAGTGCTTTTCAAATGGTAAAGCAATTGATGATACCGTTCTAGCTATGAAAGTAACCTTAACCCCGGGGCAAACAACGACCCCCATCTGTCTATCCATGAGGCCTATGACAAGTTGATAGCCTCCTGGCCCATACTGGTAACCTTCTAAGGAATAGCC